AGAAAAGTTAGGTCAGTGTGCATGTCACAAAACTAAATTTAAACTCAGATTCCATATTCAGGACACAATTCACTCATTAAACTTGAGATATTTCACCTGCCAACCTGTGAAAGCAATTAGTCTCCAGGCAGGGCCACCTGTCAAATACACGTTTCTATTCCTGGTCGATTTGTTCGCCTGGGTGAACATGATCATGTTAATGATTAAGATCAATCCCAGATCTGTGTAACCCTGGGGAGTTAAATTACCTACTGCATCCAGGCAGCTGACTGCAGGGAGCCTGCTAGGCCTCTTGAAATGGAACCACCTGGGTGGAGGGAGGAGGCAAAATGTGAAACCCCAATGAGCCAGGAGTAGGAAATTTACACAGTAGCTCAAATCCTGGACAATCCCAATCCTCCAGGACAAAAATCACAGAATCCTAGAACTGGAAGTTTTCCCACATGTCGTCCAATACGGCCCCCCTCTCCATATGCAGACTCCCCCATTACATTCACCACAGAATCAGTCAGCACTAACTTAAATGCTTCCCATGGCAAAGAGCTCACTGCTTTTCAAGGCGGCCTATTCCATTGATGGACAACTTTTATTTTTAGCAAGTTTTTCTCTAAATTAAGTCAAAAATTGATACCTTATTAATGTGTGGCTCCAATTTTAATTCTGGGTCAAGAAGGCACTCTATCGATGTTGAAAGAATGAATAATGAATAAATGAACTAATGGATTCTTAAAGATCAATTGATGATATGACAAAAGTAAGTGCTTGAAATTTTAAGTTTTTAAGAGCATGATGACTCAAAAAAAAATAAGGATTTGGTTCAACTCACTTAATATTTCTTAAGCAAGGATGAATTATGCAGAACTAAGGAATGAAGCACAGTTTAATGGGAACAGCTCTAAGTAAGAGAACCCAGATTCTAATACTCTACTGCTATCCCTCACTTTTCGCACCTGAAAAATAAGCAGGCCAGATTCCGTGATCTTTACTGGCACTTACAACTGCCAGTACTCTGTGATATACAATTTATCCTCAGAGACTGCTGTCCCTCACCTCAAGGAGTTTACTATCTTCACTGCATTACTCTGAGAGTTCAAACCCATCTGCAAATAAACATCAGCCTCTCACAGTAAGACTTTTACCCTTTATTTGCAGATGGGTTTGAACTCTCAGAGTAGGGGTAGAATTTTATCCACATATTTTAAATGGATGAGCAACATGGCTGGGAAATTAACCTGAAGTTGACATGGGAAAGATAATCTAGGGCTATTCATTCCAATTATTTCATTTGAGACCAGGTCTCCTGCACCTACGGCTACCATTATATTGACTAAATATAGAGTTCTCAGCAGCTGCACTTGGTAAATGCACTTGTCGATGCCTCACCTGCCAGAACTCAAGGGGTTTAACCAATTGATCTTTTGAAACTTCATCCAGCAATAAGTTCTGTAATTCTGTTTACAATGACCAGCGACCCTAGCGATTAGAGGAAGCTCCACTACCTCTACTGTCCATTTCTGAGCCATGACGGGAGCCAGGTGGCCAAAAGGAGGGAGGGCTAGTAAAGGAAGCAGTCTCAAAACCAGTGGTCATCTCAGCAGATGAGCATATCGTGTGGGCTCCTGACTGCCTTCCAAAGCCAAATATAAATAATGTTTCATTCATTGGTCAGCCACAGTTCTCTTTTCCCACTTCCACTAGGTGTGAAAAACTGGGAGCTGATTGCAAAGTGTGCTCAAGGAGCACCTGGTAAACTCTCATTTCAAAAGAGAAAAGGGATTCAGAATGGTTAAAGCATCTGTGGCAGGTATTTAAAAAATTGCCTGATTGTTGCACAAAAGACATTCGCCAAGGAATTTTTACCACACAGTCATTAAAGTCAAGAACAAGCAAGAGAAGACTCCCAAAGGCTAAAAGTCTTGCATTACTAAACGGTGCTGGCTGAAAAATGGCTGGCCCCAGCTGTGCCAAAGGGGACCCTCTTCACTCCCAGAGTGGCTGCCAAGGGCATCTCTGGCAGCAGTGCTCTCTGCTTGCTTTGCATGAGAACCCAGCATATAAACTGAATTACTATCATCATTATCAAAAGAATGGTTCTAATTCTAGTCTAATGACCCTAATGTACAAATGCTACTTATTTTTCCTAGAAACTTTGTTCTGTGCTGGTGTTTAGCTCTCAGTATTTAAAGATCACCATTGTACCCCCTCTTTGCTCTGAAACTTTGACCAAAACCACAATAAAATTCAAACATCAACAATTTAATCTCTAATCCTCCAATCAAACGTTTAAGGTTTATTTTTAAATGGAAAAGGCTTAATGTGCATAATAAATTCTGGCTTCTTTTTTTCTAAATTAATGTCTTAATGTTCAAGCAACGAGCAAATATTATTTTTTTCATTTAAAACAATAATAGTTTGCTCCCCTTTTTTGAAACAGATATAAATTGATGGACATAGCACAGAAATGGATTACAAGAGCAGAGACACCAAGCTATTTGTCTCTATTGACACTCCACTCCCCTTCCTTTTGGCCACTTGCTTTCTGTGGCTCAGGATCACTGTTGTTTTTTATGTTCTTTTTCTTATTTATAGTTTCCTGTGCTTCCTGTAATGAGCACGCATTGCTTTTGGAAAAAGAAAAAAGAATAAGAGAAATTTCATTTAGGAAACAAATGACTTAGGAATTGTTTCTGCAGCCTGTAGACCTGGCATTCACCCCCCTTCAGGTGCACAGAATTTCTCTGAAGGTCCACGTCCCTCTGAGGTCATCTCAGTGAGCAGTGAGGTCCCTACAGAAACGTCCTGGGTCCCAGCCCTGCAAGGTAACCATGACACCAAAAGCCTCAATCCCAGTTACACCTCTTGTGCCATTCTAATGTTTCTGGCAAATTTAAGTGTTAAAATAAAATTAATACCGATTCCATTTAGTCTGAGATTTGCAATGAGTTATTGTAATACGTTCTTTCAAGATTTTAATACCTTTTTTCATTGCAAATTTTCATTTTTTATTTCTGCAAGAAAATAATTTAAAATGGGATTTTAAAATAGAGATGAAAGAAATTAAGATTATTTCAAAGTCTCTTCTGCCAGGGCTAACAATTCACTCATATTTTAGAGTCTGTAAACATGCAAGACATTATTAACTGTAATCTAACATTGGTCTACTCTGAACCATGGCTCGTCTCCATAACTTCAGTTTGGTCAGCGGTTGAGAACACACTTGTGAGAGGCACCCACACCGGATTTTATTCCTGGCTCTACCCTTAACAGCTATGTGACCTTGGGACAAAAGCAGAGTAACCTTGAATATCAGCTTTGTACAGGGAAAATGAGGATTATAAATATCTACCTCACAAACGTTTGGGGCGGATTTCATCAGAAGAATTCCTAACAGACGGCCTGACATTGTAAGCTCTCAAAAAATTGCCCCTGTTATTCTTCCCTCCTGGTAGCAGTGACGTCTCATATTAGCCAGTGACTCAGACTCTTCAAGGTGCTTCCAGATTTTTTACCTCATTTGATCCTCAGGCAGCTCTGTCAGTACAAAAAGCCATAATTACCGTCCCCATTTTTCTTTTCTTTTATCTTTTGTGTAAACGGATGAAGAAACCGAGGCTCGGGGTCAAAGCGCTCCAGACCGCTTTTTGCTCAGTGACACAGTTCTCAGCTGAACCCCAAAAGACTTTATGTGCCGTGCCTGAACGGAATAAAACTAAATGCCTTCTCAAATACTCTGCTATTCATATTTTAATCAAATCAAACTGGTATTTCCACATCTCTCCAAATCATTTAGGTTTTGCTTAGTAAAAATAGCAACTAAGGTTATTTAGAGCTTACTCCACATCTCAGGCCCTGGGCTCAGTGCTTCACAGCCACTGCCACATTTAAACCCCGTAACAACCCTATGAGGTGGGCACTGTCATTGTCCCCATTTAACAAATGGGGAAACTGAGGCATGGCTAAGTCCAAGACTGAGATGCAGGCAGACTATCTCCAAATTCCAACTCTTAGTTCTCTGGTGTTACCCAAATTGCATTTGTCCAACTGACAGTTCGGTTGGCAAAATGCCTTCATGCACAACACGTGTGAGACAAGGAGGCGAGGTAATGGGTGCTCTCTCTTACATTTGAGGAAACCAAGGCTCCCAGATGCTAAGCGTTGTGTCTAAAATTACCCGGCCCTCTGGTGGCCCAGCAAGGACGCAACGGCAGCACTCCCTGACTCCGAAAGTCTCTTTTGGAAAGTCTCAAATGCCTTTGTAGGTATTTTAAGAGTAAGGTGGTAGGACACGTCCTGTCACTCTTGAAAAGCAACCATCGACTTAATGGCTTCGGTGTCAACACTGAGAGTTGACAGCGTGACCCGTGTTCTGGGAAGTGGAAACGGAGCGGTCTCTCCTTAGCCCGGCCGTGGGCGTTGCTGTCGCCAAGTCGGAAGTGGGAGGCGAAATTGTTTGCAGAGCAGCCCCTTGGGCAGGTGCCAGCACCACATTCCTCATCCCACCCCAGCTCCTCTCTCCGGGTCCCCGACGGGGTGGAACCCGTCTCTCAGCGGGGTCTCGGGACGAGGGCGAGCCGGGCGTCCCCTGTCCCACAGGTGAGCGGGTGAGGGCGCACGGCGACGAGAGGCTCGGCGGCGCCGGGTCCCGGGACTGACCCAAACCTCAGGCAGGCCCTTGCCGCCTTCCTCGGCCACCAAGACCCGCCACGGGGGCGGGTCCTACCAGCGCTGTTTCGAAAACTGCCGCTCGCCGGGATCTCAGTACAGTCGGAGGGGAGAGACCTGGCCCGGCTCGGCGCAGGCGGGCAGCCCCAGACCGGACCCCTCTCCCAACCCCGCACGCCACGCGCCCTGCCTCAGTTTCCCTCACCTCGAAAAGGGTGCACAGAACCCAAGCTGTTAACAGAGGCACACCCAGACCCACACGATTTCCAGGGGGCAGAGCGCGCCCTCCCTGCCCGGATGCCCCCGGCCCCGCCCGCCTGCGGTGACAGCTACCCTACCTGCGCGGTGGCCCCCGCCGCCACCGGCCGGGGCGCCCTGGGGACCCCCGCCCAGCATGCGCCCCGCCGGCTCCTCCCGCTCCGCTTCCGCCGCCTCCAGCTCGTCGGCGGTCGGCAGGCTCGGGGCGCCCGAGGCCCGCGGAGGGGGAAGCGAGGCGCCGAGCCGGACGGGAAGTGGGGAGGGGGCCGGCGAGGAAGAGGGAGGCTCCTTCCTTCTCCCCGGCGAGGCGAGCGGTTTCCTTTCCAGCCTCGGCCCCTTATGCACACACATACACACACACTCACACACACGCACGCACGCGGCTGGGGCGGGCGGCCCGGCAGGCCCACAGCCCGTCTCCCAGACCTCTGAAAGTTCGCTTTTCACTCTCGCTCATTTGTGGGCGAAAATGAGAGGGGAAGTGCGGTGGGGGGAACGGGAGCGCAGGGAAGGAGAGACGGCGAGGCCACCAGGGGTGGGTCTACGAGGGCGCCTCCCACACGCGTGATTAGGGAAGTGACCAAAGGGTTGGTGAGGAGACGGAGGGGATGAGAGGGTGAGGAGAAAGCAGGGAGACGACAGATGACGCTGGGAAAGAGATGAGTGGGAGCAGTTGTTCAAAAATGAAAGGTGAATCCAACTTTTTGAATCTTCAGGCAGCACTGGACTGGTCCCAGAGCCCCGTCCCCACCTTGGACGCAAGCTGTGATCCGTGCGGAGCTCCTAGGCTACTGACTCACCTCCTTCACTTCTTCTCTTTGGCTCATTCAGGAAGGCTACTGGAGCACCCCCTTAGGTAGCATCTGCCAGAAATGGTTCTTGCCCTTAAGGAGCTCACCTCCAGTCGGGAAGATAAACAGATGCATATAAAACTAAATAGCAACATATGGTAGGATATGCCAAGAGCCAGAGTCTTGGCACAAGAGTCTTGGCATGGAAAGTGTTGCAGAAGTTCCAGGGTAAGAGGGAGTCTTGTGAAGAGTCAGGGAGACCTTCTGGAGGAGTGGGCAGGATCTCACTAGAACTAGAGGAGGGCCACGGTCCTTCAAAAGATAAGAATCTTGGGAGTGAAAACGCACAGATAGGCTTAAAAGTCGTTGTGTTGTGGGACAAAATGAATATGAGAATGGATATTAAGGATGTGTGGAAGATGGAAGGAGCATAAAGCTGGATCTGGCTGAGTTTAATGATATACAGCACTAAGAGATCTGGATTCAAAGCTGTAGTTTGAGAGATTAGAAAAGGCTCTAACAGTTTGTTTGGTTGTAGATTGAAACATGGACCAAGAGCTGACCTACACTGGAAATGCGAGAACTGCCTTGCTATACTGCTAAGGAAGTACCCAAAGGCTTAGGGGGATTGGAATATCAGAGTGGATTTATCACGTAAGACCTGCTCTCCACTCCAGGAGGGTTCAGAGGACACACCTTTCACTGTGACTCAGAAATAACCTTGTGACCCAGCATCCTTGGTCACTCTTCTCTCTGTCAGACATTACAATGGGAACTGCAGCCACTGAACTAGGATTCTTGAATGCAAGGGGGATAATTGGATTATAGTTGACAGGGGTCAAATGGTGGCAATGAATCACCCAAGGCAAGGTGGGCATGATTTCTGTAATGGACAACAGAGTCAAAGCACAATCAGAATAGTCTGACTCCCACAGACCTACAGTGTCGGTGTCGGCAAGTTGATCATGGCGTTCCTAGAAGTGAAATAGATGGGAGGCCTACTAAATTCTTATTTGATCTGTATAAGCAGAAAAGTTCTAGGTCAAGTGAACAAAAGCCTAACTTGAATTACCAGAACAGAGAGACTCAGCCCTTCGATCAACTGGCAGACTTGAGGCAGTTTACCAACCCAGAACTTCTTGAATGAAGGAGGAAAGACCCTACAACACTGCCCAAAATGTATACTGTTACTCTTTCTTCTAGCCCTCCCCAAGGGGACATATGGCCTCTTACCAGGGTGACTGTGCATTGGAAAAAGGAAATAATCAGACTTTTCAGGAATTACTGGACACTGGCTCTGAACTGACACTAATTCCAGGAGACCTAAAACATCACTGTGGTCTACCAGGCAGAGTAGGGGCTTATGGAGGTCAAGTGATCAACAGAGTTTTAGCTCAGTTCCCTCTCACAGTGGGTTCCTGCACCCATCCTGTGGTTATTTCTCTAGTTCTGGAATGCATAATTGGAATAGACATACTCAGCAACTGGCAGAATCCCCACATTGGTTTTCTGACCTGTGAAGTGAGGGCTATTATGGTAGGAAAGGCCAAGTGGAAGCCACTACAACTGCCTCCACCTAGGAAAAGAGTTAACCAAAAGCAATTCTGCATGCAAAGACAGATAAAAAAGATTAATGCCACCATCGAGGACTTGAAAGATGCAGGGGTGGTGATACCCACCACTTCCCCATTCAGCGTGTCCATGTGGCCTGTGCAGAAAACAGATGGATTTGGAGAATGACAGTGGATTATCATAAACTTAACCAGATGGTGATTCCAGCTGCAGCTGCTACACCAGATGTAGTTCCATTGTTTGAGCCAATTAACACATCTCCTAGTACCTAGTATGCAGCTGTTGATCTGTGAATGTTTTTTCTTCATATCTGTTAGTAAAGACCACCAGAAGCAGCATTCTTTCAGCTGGCAAGACCAGCAATACACCTTCACTGTCCTACCTCAGGGATATATCAACCCTACATCATAATTCAGTCAAGCAGGGACCTTATTGCCTTTCCTTTCTGACACTGGTCCATTACATTGGTGACGTTATGCTGGTTGGACCTAGTGAGTGTGAAGTAGTAACTACTCTAGGCATATTGGTGAGACATTTGCATGTCAGAGAGTGGAAAATAAACCTGACAAAAATTCAGAGGACTTCCATCAGTGGATTTTCTAGAGGTCCAGTGGTGTGAGACATCCCTTCTAAGGTGAAGGATAAGTTGTATTTGGCCCTTTCTATAACCCAAAAAACAGGCTCAACACCTAATGGTCCTCATTGGGTTTTAGAAGCAACATATTTCTCATTTGGGTGTGCTTGCTACTCAAGCCCATTTACCAAATGACCTAAAAAGTCGCTAGTTTTGAGTAGGCCCAGAACAAAAAAGGCTCTCTGCAACAGGTCCAGGCTGCCATGCAAGCTTCTCTGCCACTTCTCTGCCATAAGATCCGGCCAATCCAATGGTACCTGAAGTGTCAGTGGTGATAGAGATGCTGATGGAGGCTTTGTCAGGCCCCTATAGTTGAATCACATCACAGATTCTTAAGATTTTGGAGCAAAGTCCTGCCATCCTCTGTGGATAACTAATCTCGTTTTGAGAAACAGCTGTTGACTTACTACTGGGCCTTAGTGGAGACTGAGCTCTTATCCATGGGCCATCAGGTTACCCTGCAACCTGAACTGTCCATCATGAACTGGGTGTTGTCTGACCCACAAGCCACAAAGTTGGGCGAACATAGCAGTGCTCCATCAAATGAAAGTAGTATATATGAGACTGGTCTGCCTGAGCAGATCCTAAAGGCACAAGTAAGTTACATGAGGAAGTGACCCAAATGCCCATGGTCCCCACTCCTGCTACATCACCTTCTCTCTCCCAGCCTGCACCTATGGCCTCATAGGGAGTTCCCTACGATCAGTTGACTGAGGAAGAGAAAACTCAGGCCTAGTTTACAGATGTTCCTGCACAATGTTCAGGCACCATCCAAGAGTAGACAGCCATAGCACTACAGCTCCTTTCTGGGACATTCCTGAAAGACAGCAGTGAAGGAAAATCCTCCCAGTGGACAGAACTTTGAGTAGCGAACCTTGTTTTTCAGTTTGCTTGAAAGGAGAAATGGCCAGAGGTACAAGTGTATGACAATTCGGGGACTGTGGCCAATGGTTTGACTGGATAGTCAAGAATTTGAAAGGAACATGATTGGAAAATTGGTGGCAAGGAGATCTGAGGAAGAGGTATGTGGAGAGACCTCTCTGAACGGGCAAAAAACTTGAAGATATTTGTGTCCCATGTGATTGTTCACCAAAGGGTGACCTCAGCAGAGGAGGATTTTAATCATCAAGTGGATAGGATGACCCATTCTATGGATACCAGTCAATCTCTTGCCCCAGCCACTCCTGACATTGCCCAATGGGCTCATGAACAAAGTGGCCATGGTGGCAGGGATGCAAGTTATGCATGGGCTCAGCAACATAGACTTCCACTCACCAAGGCCAATCTGACTATGGCCACTGCTGAGTGTCCAATCTTCCAACAGCAGAGACCAAAAATATGGCACCATTCCCCAGGGTAATCAGCCAGTTTGCTACTTGATGGTAGGTTGATTACATTGAACCACTTCCATCATGGAAGGGGCAGCACTTTGTTTTTACTGGAATTGACACACTGAATACATATTTCCCATCCCTGCACACAATGCTCTGCCAAAACTACTATCTGTGGGAGAGAGGAAGTCAACATGGCGGCGTAGGCAGACTCTGAACACACCTCCTCCTGCAGACACAGCCAATTTACAACTACTCGTGGAAAAATTACCCCTGAGACAGAACTGAAAACTGGATAAGAGGAACTCCTGCAACAACGGACAATCCCAACTGAGGTAGAAGAGGCAGAAACTCCCTTCAGGAGAGGAAAAATGCCGCCTTCACAAGCCACAGCGCCTCACGGCCGCCAGGGAGCAGCCCAAAGGTCCGCAGCCCTCCCTGGAGGCGCGGGGCCCTGAGCAGGGGAACGCCCCCGCTGTGGGCATTTTGTGGACCCAGCACAATCGAGACAAGTGGCATAATATCTGACTTTGCCTGCTACTAAAACATTGGGGAGCACCCCCAGAAAAGCTGGTTCACAAAGAAACTAAAACCCGCTCTTAAGGGGCCCACGCGCAAACGCACCCGTTTCAGAAAGCAACCTAAAATCACCAGAAAGAAAGGTGCACAGTGCTTTGGTGAAAAGAGACTGACCTAATAGGCCCTGTGTGCGTCTCGGTGAGAGGTGAGACCTCTCCAGGGACTGGGACATTGGCGGCGGCCATTGTTGTGGCCTGGTGTGGGCGAGCTGACACAGAAACCATTGGAGTTCTCCCTGAGGCCTGCTAGCCCAGGGTCTGCCCCACCCGCCAGAGCACCGATTTAATCCAGCACAGCCAGGGCAGGCAGCCCACCCTAGAGACTGGCCCCACCCAA